CTCTTTTTCTACAAAAAGACCCCTGACCATAGCTACAATTAATGTGGGTAGAGACAAGAGCATTTCTAGTCCATATTATAAGGAACACTTTAGACAGAAAGCACAGGGCAGACCATACCTGCCTTTCCCTTCCCCAAGCAGTCTCCACAAATCCCTGAAAAACCAATGCTGAGGGTTGGGCAACACTCATGGGCAAAATGACAGGCGGCATAGAGGACTGCAGTGAAGAGGGAAAATTGGGCAAAACAAATAAATAATTCAGCCCGACCTAAAGCATGTTTATCTGGAAGTAAATTACTTTAATTGGGTGTTTTCTAATAAGAACGTTAGCTATGTAATCTGGAAAAGCTGGAACATCTACAATGGAGAGAAGAGGAATCCAGTAAGGGCCTTCCTTAGTAACTTTCATGTAAGATACTTTACAAAGAAAATCTAGAAGTATACAGTTCCAAATAAGCTAGCCTTTAACTGGGCTACATCCATTCTGCTAATAGTAGCATTTTTCATTTGGGGGTGGGAGCATAAGGAGCAGTTCACTGACGAAAGCAGCTTTTTTCATCAGAGGAAAACAACATTATTAGCCTTAGACATCTGCAGGTATTTTTCCTGATTACCGTAATATACCATGAATGCCCTCCCCATCAGTATGTCAGGTTCTATCCTATTCTGAACTTGTCCTGCCCAAGTAAGAATATGATTTTTCTATAACTCATCACCATAGTCTGTGTCTGATTATGAAAACACGTGGACAATATTTCCTTACATGATAATTCAGTCTGATCTAAAGCATTTTTATCTGGAAGGTGGTTTAATATAGCTATTAAGAAATACCCAATTAAATTCAATTATTTCCAAAACAAGCATGCTTTAAAAGACCAAATTCAGTTCCTTGGATAAAATGCTGAATCATCTAATAGTCTTTAAAAGCTTCCATTAGCACTGGAAAGCTTCCAGTACCCTCTGAATTATATTTTGTATTGATCACTCTTAATAGTTTACCTGTCTCATGTACATATGTAAACAAGAACAATCCATTAAAAATAGCAGATGGCACTTATCTTACAAATGGAGTTTTATCAAAGATAGGCAATCTAACAGTAGCATTTCCAAATAAATAAAGCATCATGGCTTGGCTAAAAATGCTTAACACAGTATTTTCAGTTTAGCAGTCGACATGGAAACTAGTATTTAAAATGGGCACTTCCCCAGTCTGAAAATGTAATTCACTTGGATTGCTATAAACAGCGAATTGCTTGCAAACGAAGACAGTAGCAATTAAAAATATAATATGACAGTCATCCTAAGCAGAGTCACCTTCTAAACATATTGACTTTAATGGACTTAGAGTATTGAAAATCTGCTTTGGATTGCACTATAAACCTCTAAAAAGCAGCAGGTCGTGCCAGCTGCATATTATATGCTGATTAGGTTTAGAAAGCAGCAGCGTGCCTGCATTCAAATGTCACAGCAGTGTATACAAAGCTCAAGGAACAAACTTCTGTTTGTGATGGCATGAATATGTTTCCATGCTCATATCATATGCCTCTCCCCTCACTGAAGACTCCCTGGTTTCTGAAGCCAAACTCCAACTGATCATAACACAGAGATGCAAATGCCCGAAGATAATGGAATCTGACCTCTTCCTACAAACTCCCTACAAACCTGGGAGTAAACTATGTCTTAGATTAGAATACAAACGCTAAATTACCCAGGCAACTCTATTTAGAGTTTTGTTGTAACTCTATTTAGATGTCATGACAAAATGAGATTTGCTCTATGGATTCAGAAAGCGGGAAGTCTTCAACTGCATTCCAGGCATGAGGCCCAAAAGTGAGGGGAATAGGGAACATGAAAGCATGGCAACACAGATTCATGCTCATCACATACAAACAGTTTGTTGCGATGTCTGAATGCAGCCAGCACTGCCCATTGTTACATTGATATTAAGACCTGGATTTTATAGTGTAAATTCCCTGAAGGAGATGAGCTCAGTTCTGAGGCAGGCATGGTTTCCTCCCGTGGTCCCTGACACCCTATCCATTCAGTACCGCAAGACTGTTGTGTGCCCAGCAACTAATTCAATGGTCTGATGCTACTGACTGTCAAAAAGGCAGTCCATTATTTCAAAAAGAGTATTCTCAGAGAACTTTAAAGCACATGGCACATTTTAATAATGCAGGGGTTTTTTATTTGCTTCCAAGCTGTATTAGAAAGAAATAATTTTATTACTTACGTTTTGTTAAATTTTGTACAAAATTTACTGTAAAGGCACTTGTAATTACATCCTAAAACAATATTTCCCTCCAATTCCTTAACAGAAATAAAAAGCCCTTTATCAATGCAGTAAAAGAAAAAGTGAGACTAGAAAGAGGGAGGGGGGAAAAGAAAGGGAGGGGGGAAAGAAGATTGCCCCCCCCCGGTTCCATTATAATATGGGGACCATTATAATAAATGGGGAATCTATCTTGGGGTATCTGTGGTGGGGGGCTGTTTTTTGATATAGAAACACCAAAATTTCTGCATAGCTTCTGATGCCTTTCCTCAACCCCCCCCCCCCAAGTTTCAAAAAGATTGACCCAGGGGGTCCAATTCTATGGGCCCCCAACCCCCAAAGAAGGTGCCCCCACCCTCCATTGTTTCCAATGGTGGAGGGAAAACAGCAAAAAAGAAAAAAGAAAAAAAACCAAAAACCAGGACTGATGTCAAACCAGAGAGTCTCTTCAGTAAAAAACGGAAGGGGGGGGGTTCTAAACCCAGCAGAACCAGTGCCATTGTGGCAATGCCAGTTCAACAGATCCAAGCAAGGGGGGGAGAGGGTTGCCCCCACCCTCCATTGTTTTCAATGAAGGGAAAAAAGAAAGCATTTAAGGGAAGGCACCAGGTTTAGCTGGGCACTCATACATTGTACTGGTACTTCTAGTTACTCTGTACATGCACTGGCTATGCTGGCCTTGGACCCCCCCCTTGCTTGGATTTGTTGAGCTGGCACTGCCACAGTGGCATTGGTTTTGCTGGGCACTCTGTACATGCACTGGTTCTGCTGAGCACTCGGTACATGCACTGACTGTGCTAGGCTTGCAACCCCCCCCCCCCCCCTTGGGTTTTTTTGGGTGGGATTGCCCACAGGTCCCCCCCCCCCCCCGATTGGATTTGTTGAGCTGGCATTGCCATAGTGGCATTGGTTCTGCTGGGCACTCTGTACATGTTCTGGCTGTGTTGGGCTTGCAACGCCCCCTTGCTTGGATTTGTTGAGCTGGCATTTGCTGAGCTGGCAACCCACCCACCCCTTGATTATCTAGGATTGGCTATGCTCGATAGCCAAAAAACCACCCCCCTCTATATCTGGCTGAAACAATAGCCGATAAACAAGAATAAGGTATTTTCAGGCTGGTGTTTTTGGCTCCTAATTACAAAACAATCCTGGAAATACACTCATGTTGACTTTGGCATTCTGGGGTAAAAAAAACCCCACCCCTATAAATTTGTCCCCCAGTGTTCCAGGGAAGTAGTTTTAAGAAAGTGGGAAAAATACAGCCTCTGCTGCAAACTGATAACCCTCCTGATAATCTGGAGAACATCTATGTCACAACAGAGAGATATGTACTTTCTGTAAAATATTACTGACCAACATTATATTATTATTATGTTGTTTTAAAAAATGTGTGACATTTTTCTATGCCAAGTGACACTGGAATTTAGGTTGGGATATGAATGTGTCACAGATTAAAAAAAATATTTTCAGGGTGTTGCCAAAGTGTTCACCAGATCAATAATAAAACAAGCTGAGAACTAAATCCCAGAAACTATATTTAAATTTGAAAAGTACTATGCTATGAGCAATGCTTTTTCAGATCAATTTCACAGCCTTTTAAAGAGTGGCAACTCCTACTGGGTATATGGTGGCCACTCAATGTAATGTAATCAAAGTAACCACTTTTCCAGATTATCAAATCACAGCACCTTTGTTGAAGTTTTAAACTAGGGCAACTCATGACTAGACATCTTTGCTCTGATGCCTCCACCTTGAATTCATCCACCAGCACACACCGGTAACTGACATTCACTACACCAAGGTCAGGTGAATCATCCTTGGATCATTCTCAGTGAGCCTTGGCTAGTAAACTGGTTTAACTATCTAGAGAGCCTGTGTAAACTACACTAGGCAGGATATCAAACTGAAGATAATTCTGCATTATCAGTAGACGTCTTATTACTGACAGAATGCCTCAGAGGTGGTGTTGCCTCCTCCAATGGAAACTGGAAACAACTTCACTTAAGTTATGAAAATAACTGACATTTTTATAGAAGTATCAACAATATTTTTAAGCTCTTCAGGTGCTCAAGAGAGAAAGCCTTCGACAACATATAAAAGCAAGAGAGTTTGTATTGAGACCATCTGTGGAAAAACTACCCTTTCAGATGCTCTCAAGGGGATAGGCTCAGCATCTTGACATGTTCTGTGTTTTTTTTCTGCACAAGGCAATAATGATACTTACCTCATTGATGCTGATCTCAGCTTCCACATACTGCAGACCTTTCTGAAGGATGGAGATGAGGGCAGCAGGTGGCACTAGTGTTCCATTGATGTTGGACTGGCTAATATGACTCTCTATTCCAAATGTAAAGGCAGAATGGGAGAAACCTGAAAGCAGGAAGGAAAGCCATGCATGATATGAAGTCTAAATGTGACATGTATACTAAATAAAAGGCTGCTTAAAACTGTGACATGCCAACACAAGGATATCAAATTGACCAGACTAGGTCAAATGGTCACAAAGAACACTGCCTTCTCAACTTTGTTTAATTTGTAAACAGACTTTGCCAAAAGGGTGCTCCTGGGGAAAATAAGTTTTGGTAAAACAAAGCAAAACAAAAACTATACCTTCTTTTAAACAATAGAAATTTGCTTTAAAGGCTTTTTTCAGTACAGAGGTTGTAGTCATCTGCCAAAGGCACAGATGCAATTTAGTATTTGCATGTTATTCATACACAAAAAGAAAAGCATTATGTTTCTGTCCAAACCTTTCATTAATCTGACATGCAGAGTATAACTATTTAACCAAATGAGAACCAACCCCCCCCCCTTTCCCAAAGGCAGACCTTTTATTTTCTCATTTTATTTAATCACCTATCAGTCATCTCTATATAATAATCCTCTTAGCGTTTTGGCCATTTCCAGCTCTCCAATTGGCTGTGCAATGTGCTCCATCAGCCATTGGCCCATCAGACGCCACTCAAGAGTATTCGCGTGCCATTGGCTGGGTGCTGGGTCTGCTCCTCTTCCCCGCCCACTTCCACTTCAACCACCATTCCCTGTCAGAATAACTGGCAAACGGCTGTCTCTCCTGACAAAGACACTTCTCCTGCTTGGCCCCTCTGTGGGACTAACTTTTCCCTCAGTGGCTATTGGTAGGCTATCAAGCTTGGTTCTGTCAGTAAAAAGATAAAGGAAGGAAACCCTTTCCAGGCCTTTGTGAGGAACTCATGGGGGACTAGAGTTGCCAGCTCCAGCTTGGGAAATTTCTGAATTTTCTGTGTATAAGGAAGCCAGTCTAAGGAAGCTAGAGTTTGGGGAGGGAAGAGGCCTCAGCTGAACAGAATGTCATAGAGCCCACCCTCCAAAGCAGTTATTTTCTCCAGGGGGAGAGAGAGAGAGATCTGTTGTCTGGAGTTCAGTTGTGATACCCAGCGATCTTCAGGCTCCACCTGGAGATTGTCTACCTTACGCACAGCACTTAGCGCTTCAGAGCAGGGTCTGCCAGACCCAGGTACTTGCTGTGGAAGCTGTGATTTAGGACCAGTCACAGACTTTCAACGTAACCCCCTCCCCCGCCCACTTGGCCACTTTCCTGTCAGAATAAACTGTGAAAACGGCTCTCTCCTGCTTATCTCCGCCATGGCTGGCTGGCTACTAAGGTGGGCCAGCAGCTGTCAAACCATTCTCTTCAACCCCCTGCTGTGCGGCTGACTTGGTTCTGTCAGTAAAACAGGGTTGTTGTGCAAGTCAAAAGGGGGAGAGGAGAATGATATAAGCTGCTTTGGTCCCCATTGCAGAGAAAGACTACATTTCCTCCTGGGGAACCATTGTTGCCAATCTCCAGGTGAGGACTGGAGATAACTCAGAATTACAACTGCTCTCCAGATGGCAGAGATCAGTTCCCCTGGAGAAAATGGTGGACTCTGTGTCCTCATACTCTGCTGAGATGACCCCCCTATGACAGCCAATGTGACGTAGCAGTCAGGGCTTCAGAGCATGGTAGAGGCTGCAGGTGGGTGGGAGATGGAAAGCTGCAGGTGTGTATGTATGTGGGAGGGAGATGGAAAGCTGAAGAGTGAGTGGCAGATAATGGCAGGTTGATGGTTGGCTGGGAAGGAGATAGGGTTGCCAACTCCAGGTTGGGGAATTCCTGGACACTTGAGGGGTGGAGCCTAGAGAGTGTGGGGTTTGAGGAGGGGTGGGATCTCAGACAGGTACAATGCCATAGACTTCACCCTCCAAACCAGCCATTTCCTCCTGAGGAACCATTGTTGCTAATCTCCAGGTGGTGGCTGGAGATCACTCAGAATTACAACTCCTCTCCAGGAGGGAGGGGGGAGGAGATAAAAAGCTGAAATCAGAGGGGCAGATAAAGCTTGGTTGATGGTTGGCTGGGAAGGAGATAGGGTTGCTACCTCCAGGTTGGGAAATTCCTGGAGATTTGAGGGGTGGAGCCTGGAGAGGGTGGGGTTTGAGGAAAGGTGGGACCTCAGACAGGTACAATGCCATAGACTCCACCCTCCAGACCAGCCATTTCCTCCTGGGGAACCATTGTTGCCAATGTCCAGGTGAGGTAGCAGAGATCAGTTCCTCTGGAGAAAATGGTGGACTCTGTGTCATTATACCCTGCTGAGGTCGTCACAGCAAATTGACGCTGAGTGCACAAGGCCGGGGCACTCTACTAGAGCCTCTTTCTAGAGCTCGTTGTATTTATTTCCATAACAGGCCTTATTCTTAGTCTTATTATGATACCCTTCCTCCAAGAAGGGTGGCAGAAGTCATTCTCGCTTACTCCATTTCCCCCCTCATACAACTCTTTGAAATAAATCAGACTTGAGATAATGTGATTTACCCAAGGTTACCATGTGAACACCACATCTGAGTAGATATGACCTGGACCCAAATATGGGTCTTTCTAGTCCTAACCTTGCAGTCCAACCACTACCCCACATTCGTTCTCTGTTTGGAAGCAGCAAATTCAGCTATACCATATGTAGATGTAATGCTGCCCATCTGTTTATGATGGTTAACCTCTCCTATGCAAATTCTTCCCTTCTAGGTCATGTAAAGATGTTTTTTGTTGCTACTCCTTATCTAGGTGCCATGGAAGTGCCAAACAAAGATCAAGGAAAGAGAGATGGTAGCAGACCCTTGTATCTCAGGCAGGAATCAACATTCTCTATTGCTCAAGGATACCTTCATATCAGAAATTCTGCCCCAGCTACCCAAGCTGAGGATAGCCTGACTTACCCATGTGAGGAACCCTGAGAGAAAGTAGCAGCTGGGATCCACTCGGATACAGCCAAGAACAAGGCTGGGAGTCAGGCAGCAGGGAGGGCATGGTCAGAAGGCAAGGCCAAGCCTGGATTTGGGGAGGGCTGGGAGAGGAGAGGCTAAGAGGCAGCCCTGAGCAGCAAGATGGAGGAGCAAGTGCAGGAACCCCCTCTCCTTCCCAATTCTGAGGCCGGTAGGCCAGATGTCCTCTTTGGTGGCAGGATGGTAGAAGGCAGGGAGACTGTCTCAGTTGTGGAGGAGCCTCACACTTTGTTTTCTCTCTGTTGTGAGAATGTGTTTAGGAGGAAGAGGGGAATCCCTTGTTGGAAGAGTATCAGTGTCATTGTTAGGTGATTATGAGATAGCCAGAGATGTGCTGTTGCCAGAAGAACATACCAAAAAAGGAAAACTAGATACCTCTGTATGAAACAAAGTACTAATTTATTCCAAATATTTCCCACCTCATTTCCAGTGCAGCAGCTGTCATGATTCACTGCACAGAAAAGGGGGCTCACTGTGGTCTATCAAGAGTCAAATCTTACTAGTTCCTCATCTTTGAACAACATTTGTATTTGAAGTATCCAGATACTTTTCAATCTGATTTTTTAAAATTGAAACTGGTCACTCTAGTAGGCAATCTACCCTGGGAAATTTACAGGGACAATGAAGAAAATAAAGAGTATTTAATATTTCCAGTTTAAGTTTCAAGACACAGATGTTCATTCTTCTTATACTATAAAAGGATTCTAGTCTCCCACCCTCTAACACAGAATGAAATCTACTGTAAGTTTATTATGATTAATGCAGGCTTTCATGCATAGTTCTATGCTGCAAGAATCTAAACATTCTGCATAAAAAATGATAACCATGGCACAATGTTGTGTCTACAACAATGCTAACTATGCTAGCTTTTTAACAAAAAAAAGTTAAACACTCATTAGCGCCAACTATAATTAGCATCAGTGCAGCTGTAAGTTTATAAGTAAAACCTACAAGGGAAGGGAATGGGGAAAGAAGCATACAAGCCTGAACTTCACTGTACTCTCATAATCATGATTAAAGTAGAGGCTATGTTGCATCTGCAATAGCTGGCATTAACAATTAACCAATACTTCTCAGTTAACCATAAGACTCTATTCCCAGTGGTTCACAACTTGTAGGCTGTGACCCCAGGAGGGACAGTTATTTAAAGGGGTCCATGAATCTACCCAGCCATGGCACATCCCCTTCCCGGCTTGACTCTATAGTGGAGTTCATCCACTAAGCTACTTGCTGCAGTGTAGACATGCCTCTCCAACTGGGTCCATAGCCTCATCTAGACCCTTAACCAGAGGCTCCCAAATGCATACTAGCCAGTGTTCCCTCTAAGCTGAGTTAGTGTGAGCTAGCTCACAGCTTTTTAGCCTCCGGCTCACACATTTTTGTCTTAGCTTAGGAAGGATGGCTAACTTCAGAGGACGGCGGAAGGCCTGTCGTGATCTGGTCCATGGGGTCGCGAAGAGTCGGACTCGACCGTGCGACTGAACAACAACAACAACAACAACAGGAAGGATGGCTCCAGAGCAAACTAATTTATGCAGTAGCCAAATTTAATGCCAGTAGCTCACAAAGTGGAGTTTTTGTTCACAAGACTCCACAGCTTAGAGGGAGCATTGATACTAGCCCAGTCAGGGATGCTTGCCTAATTGCCTGCTGGTTGGCTTCCCTAGTCCCTCCCACATCTCTGTCAGCCCAGAAAGGCCCAGAGCTACATCAGGCAGCTGCCAGGAGCCAAGGAGCTTCAGCAGGACACAGCATCTCCCTTTCAGCCACCCTAGGGCAGCTTGGTAAGCATGGAAAAGAAGGGGCTGGATTTGGGGGGGAGGGTAGCCTCCCCACCCATTATTATCCATTTCTAAAATATCAGTTTGACAAAGGCAAAATCATACTATTTCTCATTTATCTTTTAGCAGTGTTGGCCTGCAAAGACTAAACTGAGAGGCAAGCAGGGCTTTTAGGAATCAGCATTAAACTCCCCTGGAGTATTAGACTGGTATTACTAGTACTTGAAACTAGAGCTCAGGTTTGCTTTTTGTGTGTGTGTGTGAGATCAAGTCACAGCTGACTTATGG